GAGCGGCCAGTCTGGGACGAGGACAAAGGAACACAGAATCGGACCTGGACCTTCATGAGAGGAGTTCATTTTCCAGAGGATGCCCGTGGCATGCTGAGGAGGGCCATCAGCCTTGAGGACTTGTTGGAGAATAAAGCAATGAAATCCCTGTAAGTAAGGCTGGCCCAGGTCCTCCCCTTCGCTAGCGCATGGCCTTTCCCAGGACTCCCCTAAGCGCTTCCGGTCTACCCTGGAAGTTTTCCTGCCTCTACTGGGAATGCCATTTGGATCTGGGTGAAATCACAATGATCTTTCTTCCCTTTACGCTCTCTAAATTCAAGTCTCATTCCTCTCAACCAAAGCTGATCATGTTATTTCAATATTTCTTTAATGCAACAGAAAACACCACTCTCTAGGAGACCAGACAAACGCTAGCCAAATGCTCCCCAGCCCAACCTTCCAAAAGGAAGGAATGGACAGGTGTGGAAGCCTTGGAGTGTGCCCCAGTCTAGCTGTCTCTTAGGCTCTGAGCCTGATGTCTCCTGGCTCTCTTCCTAGGTAGGGGGTCAAGAACACTGTGCTCAGGTCCAGACACACGAGTGGAGCAGCAGAGACAGGGGACAAGAAAGCATGCGATCTTTAGCAGGCACACAGAAACCCAAGGCCGTTCAGATGGATACAAAGAAGTGGGACCACCTCCTCCAAATGAGGCCAGCCTCAGAATCTTTTCTTCTATCCTTATGCCCGGATGGTGGGAGAAGGTAAAATTGAGGGAAGAGTGGAGAAAATGATATAATTTGGTAGGCTCAAAGTGGCCCAGGGGCCGGGGCCCGTGGTGTGAGATGGCACAGGGCCATGGGATCTCCCTTATACCCACTGTGGGACTCAAGTGGCCACAGCTGTGGAAATACTGTCTCCCTTGATTGAGGTCGTGTCATGGTGAAGGCGCATGTAGCCAGGACAGATTGGGCTGATTCCACGTCAGCCCCTGATCTTCTTGGGGGGTGTGTTCCCTATGGCATTCCGGGTTTCTGACTTACTGGGATAAGTGTGACTCTAGTGTGTAAGATGACCTCTTCCAGAGAGACTGGACAAGTGTTTGGGATATGAAAAACTTTGGGGCGGGTGAGGTCAGTGTCATTAATCCAGTGAATTTAGAGCCTCTTAGCTGTCCTCATGGTAGCCTTAACAGAGAGGAAGCTTCTTGTCTCAGGCTGTGACCGTGAGCTCAGAGACATCACCCTAAAGATACCTGAGCAGGCTGAGGTTGCCTTTCATGCAGAGGCTGACAGAGGCAGCAAGACCTCCCTGAGCATGGAGATAGAGCTTTCAGAAATGATGCTAACAAGAGCAGTCCCATTATGGTGAAGAGACCCTGCTTCTTTGAACAAAAAGAGCCGCGTGTTCCGTGGGCTTAGATGATGTGTGGGAGGTTGTGGGCAGATTTAATGGGGGCAATGAGGAAACGAAGGGACAAGTTTATTTTATTCTACAGCTCCAGAGCCAAGTGCCCAGAGTTGTTTGTCATCAGGCTTTCCTGGGAAAGAAAGGGGTCCAGAGACTATTGCAGGCCACCCACCAGGAAGCAATGAGCTGGCACCTCACTGGCCTGTACACAAGAGATTATCAGGGGCCCAGGCAAATGACAGACTCCCAGGGATGCGACCACTGTATCTCATAGGTGCGGTGGCCAAGGAAGATGTAGGTGTTCAGAATCCAAGTCATCTGAGCAGGGGGCACGGACTTCCCCGGTGGATTCCTGCAATGACACCCAGGGCCAGTGAGCTGCTAGCAGCCTCCTGAAGGGGAGGGACACTGTCGAGAAGGGAAGACCCCGGAAGTGCATGCCTGGGACAAGTGGAGGGAGGGTTTCCTGGTGACTGTAAAAGCAGAGACTGTAGAAGATGAGGATCAAGTGACAACTGAGGGATATCTCTCTGGTCACAGTGCAATCTCTCTCCCTCCCTTCCTTATCTCCACTGGTCACCTCCTTCCCTTTCCTGTCTCTCAGCAAAGCCACTTTCTCAGCAACTGCAAATGGGCTCATGGTCTCAGTTGTACCATGAGGAGAGGTACCGATGCCACAGAGCAGGGGAGGCGGGAGAAATGTTCCTCGGCCCAGGGCTCCCAGAGCCATCTCCAACAGAGGCTGAGCTCAGGGACTCCTGAGCTGTCCTGCGGCCTTCTCCTTTGTCACCGTGGCTACCGCCTCCCTGAGCTGGAAGCCATCCCGCTTTTGGTGCTTGAGGTCAACACCTGCAGTTCTCTTTCTAGGTTTCCTGTAAACATGAACATGCATGTGCACGTGCACACACACATGTGCACTACATGTGGAGTAGTGAGAGAGGTGGCAAATGAACGCCTCTGATGGGGTGCAAATGAGAAGGAAATACACCCAAGCATAGACGAGAAAGCAGAGGTCCCGAGGGGATGCATTTGGGACAGCTTCAAGGGCTTTAAGGGAGCCCCAGACCCGGGCAGACAGGAGCTGAGATCTCAGCCAGCCTAAGGCAGTGGCCTGTCACATGGCCTCACCTTTCCCAGCCTCAGCAGAGTACACAGAGGAGCTTGCAGGCAGGGTCCTCAGCCGGCAGCACTGTAACCAGAGGACACCAGGTAGAAAGCACCTTGGCTGGCGGGAAGCTGGGTGTGACCGGCTGACCTGTCCCCTGGCTGCACCTGGGCAGCCCAGCTGGCCTTCACCACAGCCCCAGGTGTGCTCTGTTCCATCCTGCTTCCTAGGGAGGGGGCCAAGAGGACCCCAGGGAATGCTGTCAGAAAGGGGGCAAGGATGCACTGCAAAGATTTGTGCTAATTCAGGTGAGCAAGGAAAGCAGAGCAAAGGGAAGGAACATTTGGTTTTACAACTGATTTTTTTTTTAAAAAAAGAAAAGATTTGGATAAACAATGAAAGGGGTGAGAAGGAAAAGCCTCTTTGAATAATAACTTTTGAAAAAACAGCTCCACAAACATAAAAAAAAATTCCTCAGTTGAACATCTTTTCCAGAATAGTTCAATGTGAGGTCTTGCACCCTAAACGGTTATATCTGGAATTTTCTTTTAAAAAATTGCAACTACACACAACAAAGACTAACAGTATTTACTTAAAAATATTGTGTGTGTATATATATACTTATATTTATATATATATATATCTTCTTTTGTGGAGATATTTTTCTTTTTTTGTTTTCTTCTTTTCCTTTTTTTTTTTTTTTTTTTTGTGCCCAAGTAGAGATACAATGATATTGTGATGATGTCCCAGAACAGAAATAGTCCTGAAAGGAACAATACTCCAAAGAATACAAAGCTTACAAATGGTTGAACACACGTGCAACACCTCCAGATATTCAACTTGGTACAGTGAGAAAATCAATAGCAGAATCAAATCCTCACCCGAGCTACGTGGCCTTGCAGACCTGCGTCTGCTGCTGGTGGACACCCGTTCTCTGGGGAGGGGCCTCATGCAGGCACCTCGAAACCCCCACCCCACCTGGCCCCTGGCACTGGCCCTCCACCAAGCCACGACAGCGCCTGCCTCCTAGAAATTTTGTGTATTTCTGGCAAGACCTTGCAGCGGGGACACACATATGTATATGTGCACCGTGGCACACACACGCACGCACACACACATACACACGGCACACACAAATTTCCCACTCAACCCAGATGCACCAGGTGAGCTGAATGACCTTCAGCCAACCACAATGACAGAAGCACCAAACAGTCTTTGAAATGGGTCAGTTATTACAATTTGACTTTTTATATATATAGATATATATATATATATTCTAGTTTTCCTCTTTGTGTTATATTTTTTTTTCTTAAAAAAAAGCACAAATGAAAAATGAATAATTCTTTCCAGATCAGTTTAAGGCTTCCCACCAAATGGAAATAAGAGGCCTTACACACCAGCATATGTGATAAATGCACGACCGTTGTCAGCCTTAAAATGATGGAAGAGATCATTGTTGCCGGTCACCGATTAAGTATTGTGCCTTTAAATTGATGTTCTTTTTGCTACTATGCTGAGTTTTATTATTACTGATTCTCTTTGATGGCAGATATGGAAATCTCCTTTGATTGGCTGTAGAATTTCTTGACCTTACCGAATTACTAGGGTGGCTTTTTGTTTTGATCTGTTTTGCTATTCATCGAGAAACAAATGCAATTCTTGCAAGGTGAGCACTAAGATGGCCCGTGGACAGCCTTCCAGTAGCCTTTGCAGCCATTTGAGAGCCAAATGGCCCTCTGGCTCCTCGAAGGCTCTGAGAAGTGGGGACAGGGACAGGAGAGGAGGGAGAGAAACTGACTGGAGAGCGGGGGTTTATGCCTTTGCTTTTGGTAAATTTGTTTTCTTCAATACAAATAATCAGATAGGAAGAATGATTGCTTTGTATTGTATTTGTTGGTTGTGTTTTATTTTCATTTGTAGATTTGTTTCATTTGATTACTTAATTTTCCCTCTCCTGGTGCAAAAATCACCAGAGAGTTTTGCATGAGAAAACGTGACAGTACTTAATGAAACTCAGCACCTAAGGGCATAAGGCAGTTGAAGGTTTTTTTGTTTGTTCATTTGTGTTTGTTTGTTTTGTTTTGTTTTGTTCTTTCAATCAGCACCAATCCCATAAATGATCTACACTTGGTGTAAGGTATAAAACTTATTTTTGATTTTGGAGTGGAGACAACTCCTCCTTCTCCACCCTATGAACCATGTGTGGGATTTTTTAATACTGTTTCTTATGTGTAAAAAACAAAAGAAAGGTTTTCTTTTTGTTTTTACTTACAAAACATAGAGAATATCTTTGTATACATACAGCGACTGGAAAGAAAGCTTATCTGAAGGGGATGTGACTTATCGATTTTTTTGTAGTGGTGGTGTTGGTGGTGATGTTGGTGGTGGTGTTGGTGGTGGTAGTGTGGTGGTTCTGTGTACTGGGGGAAGGGAGGGTTATATTTCTTGCAAGCGGCATTGACCGCAAACCAAACTTAAGGTCCCCTTCTCAACTTGGGTCAAGATGTTCTTAGAGTGAAGACTCGTACTGCAACAACTCGTACAGGAGCGGCCCATCTCGATAGCGAATGCCTACTGCCGTGGGGGTGACATACTGCAAGATGTTAATAGTCCTTCTCAGCCTCCTGTCCACAAAATGAGCATCCCAAGCTGGGTACCTCTTTCTTGGCATGTCAATCTTAATGAGGGGCCCTTCTGGGGGGTAAGGACGCCCCGACGGGGTAGTGGGCTCCATGGGTCTCACTTGGAAAACGGGCAAGCAAGTGTCAGCCGTGAGATCCTCCTGTTGTTCCGTCACGGCTCTGGTGGGCGTAACCTGGGCCGCCCGGTACCCAGGGGCTTGTGGTGCCATGGGCTCAACATCGGGAGGCAAAGGGATGCCCCAGAGCAGCTCGGCACAACAGGAGCTGGCAAGGACCTTAACCCGAGGCCCCATGGGATGCAGCACGCCATAGTATAAGAGCATCAGTGCGATCCCAGCCACAAAGCTCACAAAGACACAACACAGTGCTGGCACCGCATAGGAGTCAGTGGTCTCCGGGTCTCTGTAAAAATACCAAAGGAACGTCAAGGCAGCATTCTCGGTCAGGACTATCGTATAATATGCAAACATTCGATATCGAGTCCGCCCTTCCTTGACGTTAAACCAGCAGAAAATGTACACAATCCCTACCACCATGTTGAAGAGGATCTCCTCCCACTTGGACATGCAGAAGTCTGTCCCGCCATGGATGACCCAGAAGGCCATGGCGCACCAGTGCACCACCACGAAGATCCCGAAGTAGAGCTGGAAGATGGAAGCAAAGAGGGCAAAAGAGATAACTCGGGATGAGATGGTGAAGAGGCGCCAGAAGAGCTGGATGAGGGCCCCTCTGTAGCTCATGCTCTTCTTGTCGTCCCTGGAGTCCCGCAGCAGCTTGTGATAGGAGGCTAGCACCCAAGCCAGGGACATCAGGGAAGTCACAGAGGAGACACCTGCCAGAAAGACACAAACCCACACAGTCAAAACCTTGGACATCAACCACGGGGTACAGCAGGGCTGCCGGCCAAGGAGACGCCCACACACACCTTGATCTAAAGGAAGAGGGAGAAAGAGACAAAGTCAGGCCGCTTCCTATGCTGAAGACTTTGCATGGCTTGGTTTGCTTCTGTGGCTCTGCCTAGAATTTCAGGAGCCTCTTAGTGGCTCAGGGGTAAAGGCTGGTGCACTTGGCACATCTTGGCACATCTACCCATAGAAGTCCTATCTTAAGGGATCCCTGTTGCATGTGACAAGTGGCCTCCCTGTCACTAGCGGCCCATGCCCTTAGAGAAGCCCAGAGAAGGGACTGCAATTGTGAAGACCAGCGGTGAACTCCCTGGTCCACTCTTTGGAGTGCTGGAGCTGCTCCTCTTCCCTGCCCTCGGCTCACTCCAGGGCCCAAGAAGCCCTTTCCGGAGCCTTGCTCACTTTGATGCTCTCCTATTTCATGTAAGGCCGCCCCGGGATATCCCACCCGCTCGTCTGGCCACCTCTGTCCCTCTGGTTTCTGTTGATCTCTGCACATCCTCACTGCTTTATCCACCCAACTCTTACTCAAGTTTCTCTTGGGCCTTGACGGGTGCAGTTGCCCCCTCTGGTTTCCCTCCCAGTTCAGCTCTTTGGAGGCACCTGTTCCCCTCACCAGCTTGGTGAGGTGCCCCAGGCCTCTGCCTTCCGTTTCCCCCAGTGCACACAGTCCAAAAGTATCTGACCCTAAGTGATCAAATTGCTGTTGAGCAATTTTATTTCTAACTCTGCCTACCTGACACTTATAACTAAATCAAACAGGACACCATCAGTAGTTACTGGACTCTCTCCGAGTCCGCCCATGGGCCACGCCACCTCCTCTCAAACAAGCGTGCCCAGCACCCTCGGCACCTCAGGCGCAGCTCCACTCAGTCCACCTGGCACCTCTTCTGTGGATCCTTTTTGCCTAAAACTTCAAAGCTAAGTGCAACTAGACGCCTCAATGTCATCTCACTGGCAATCATCTCCTTCCAAATTTTCTGTTGTCCCAGAGGACCATTTCCCTAGGACATTCTTCAATGCTGAAATCAAAATTACCCATTAGATTTTTTTCTCTTACACCAAAATGCAGCCCCATTCATCCAGGGACTAACTGAGCAGCTCCACCCCTTCCTGTCCCCCTTTTCTTTTCCTAGGTCCCTGCCCACCTCCCCACAGTGATCCAAACCCCAAGGCAGAACCAAAGTCCTCCCACTTGATGGTCTCAGCATTTACGCTCTCCTACCCATCTCTCCAGCACCCTTCCTTGCCTCATCTCAAGTTGATGCCCAGGGACTCAGCTTGCAGAACAATATGGTGCCGTGGCAAACCCAGTATGCTGGCACAAGCATAGGAAACACCTGGACAGCCAACTGCTACAATGAACAAGCATGTGCTGCTTTTGTAGTAACAACAGAGATGTAAAACAAACAGTAGAGAGGAGACTCAATCCCTACTTTGCCATGGAAACCAATCTGGAGAACACCTCACGAGCAGCTATGGTGATTTTCTTCAAGCTTCTCGGGAGTGTTCTGAGTGAGACACTTTCAGGGCCCTCCTTGCTCCTGCTACCCAGGGACAGGCTTGGGGGTGACACATCTGCAACTCAGAGGACTGAGTGGTCCCTGGGCTGAGCTTATAGAGCCCAACTGTGTTTGAGCTGTTAGGTTGGGGCGGGAGAGGAACAGGTTCTCTTAGGAGCAACCAGATTTGAGGTGTGGCTTTCTGGAGAGAAGGGGACATGGGCAGTCCCAGCCAGGTGATCTGCACCAAGTTTATTCCCAATCCTACGCACAGCCGGGAAGCTCCTTTCAAGCAGCCTTGTGGCTCCAGCTGAACTCTCCTTCCTTCTTTCCTTCCTTCCTTCCTTCCTTCCTCCCTCCTTCCCTCCCTCCCTCCCTCCCTCCCTCTCTCTCTCTCTCTCTCTCTCTCTCTCTCTCTCTGTCTCTCTCTCTCCTTTCTTTCATGACAGTCTTGCTACATAGTTTAGATTGACCTTGAACTAAGTAGCCCAGGCTGGCCTACAACTCATGATCTTCCTGCTTCAGCCTCCCAAAAGCTGACATTACAGGCCTGTACCACCACGCCCAGCTCAATTTGGCCTGATTTTGAGGGTGCTTTGGAGTAGACTTGGGGGCCAGAGGACAGCCCCAGCTTCCACTGTTTCAACTCCACTGCTCGGTGCCACTCCTTTCAAAGGTGAGTGAATAGGAAGTAAATGCGTAACCGTCATCACTAGCAGAGTCAAACAGTTTCTGGACTCTTCGTGTCCCATCTCTGGTCACCAACACCATGTCCCATCTGTCACTGTGATTTTGAGGCCTGAGGCTCTGCTCTTGCCTTGCCTTTCATGAAGGTTGCTGCACCCTCCGTCTCGGCTAACCACATACCACCGTGGCTCTCGGTTGGGACTTCCGGATTTTCTCTGTAAGGGCTGACACAGATGTTCCCTGAATGTTCTAAGACATCACTGCTAAGTTCCAAGGAGGGCTCAGGGACCAGTTACACAAAAGACTGAACTGCTGACACATGGACTGTGCTGGCCACAGGGGTCTCACCTCTCTGCCGCCTCTGTTCCTGACTTGGTGAAGTTAGGCACCGTGCTCAGCATTACCCAGGAGTTGCTCCCACACTGCGACTTCCACCTGCCCATCCACAGGGCATAGAGGCTCGGGGGTCTGGGCAAGCAGGGTGGGGCATGTGCAGGGGGTCTGGTACCCACACGGGCCTGCTCCTCTTTCTGTGGGCAGCAGGGACAGGGACGATCATGCAGGAAGGGGCTTTCCTGGCAGTGGCCCAGGCCCTCACCCCGGCTGCTTTCTAACTCACCACCTCCCAACAAGCTCCTCATTCCTTCCAAGGCTCTGGCCTCATTCTACGAATCAAAGTCGGTGCTACTGGAGAGCCGAGTCCACCGCAGAGGGGAGCCCTGAGAGCCCAGGCCCACTCCAGGACACACTGGATGCCCACCAGAGAGTGACCTTTGTCCTCTCAGCGGCTCCAGAACCAATACTGAAGGTATCAGGTAGACCTGTTTTCAGCCCACCTGCAAAGAACATGTCTGGACGCATCTGCAACATCGGCCACATGGTGTTTGGTGAGACCGTGTGTCTGTGGCTCAGCCGCTCTGAATATCTCGCCCTTAGGACAGCTCTGAGAAGGAGGGCTGCCAGCAGACAGTGGGGCAGAGGTGGCCAGCTAATTGTAGGGATTCAGCAGGGGCAGGGGAGAAGCCAGGACTAAGACAGCCGTGAGCTGGGACCCCTGAGTCAGCGCCCCTCCCTCAGAACCCACACCCACTGTCTGGTTTGGAAGCCCAGCCCTGTGGAAGATGCACTACTTGTGGGCTCAATGGTAGCCCAGATTCCTGTGGCGAGGCCCTAACTCTGAGGAAGCACCTCGGAAGGGGGCTGTCCTTGGAGAGAGGGTCTTTGGAGAGCTCGTCAAGGCCACACGAGGCCATGCGCCAGCCTACTCCAATCTGACCAGTGTCCGCATAAGAAGAGGATGTTTGGGCACAAGGGACACCAGGGGCACATGAGCATGGAGGGAGACACAAGAGGACACAGCGAAGTTGGCATCTGCCAGCCAGGGAGAGATACCTCACGGAGCACCAGCCCTGCTGACACCTGTCTTAGATCTCCAGCCTCCAGAGCGCTGAGGAAATAGAGGGCTGTTTTGGAAATGCCCAGTCTGGGGCACTTTGTGGGGGTGGCTTTATGACACAAACATCATTCGTTCTCTCTCTCTCTCTCTCTCTCTCTCTCTCTCTCTCTCTCTCTCTCTCTCTCTACCTCTTTCTCTCTTAACACTGAAGATTGAACCCCGGGCGTTCACACTGAGCTACATGCCAAAACCTTTTTTAATTTTTTGTTTTCAGACAGGGACTCCCTAAGTTACTAAACTGCCCAGGCTGGACTCAAACTTTCAATCCTCCTGCCTCAGCCTCCCAGAGTACCACAGAGGATCACAGGCATGTGCTGCCATGCCCAGCTGTAATCTCATTTAGTCATTAAAGACATTTAAGAATCTCTTTCCAAAAATATACATCTACTAAGAGACGGAACGAGGATTTAAAATCACAGTTCCACTCCGGTGGCCTTGAAAGCAACCTCACAGGCCCCAGACTCAGGTCTCGGAGGGGCGAGAAAAGAAAGGTGCAAAGGAGGTGCACCTTGCAGCGGCACAGGAAGGGTAGAATCTGCAAGAGGGCCTCAACTGTCGGGCAAAAACCAAATTTGAGTTCTACTCCACCTTCCTCAGGAGAGTAATGTTCATGCCACAAAGAAAGAGGCTCCTCCAACAGCATTAGGTACAGCCGCCTTTCCACTGAACAGTGACTCATCTTCTAAGGCTTGCAGTGAACCCTCTATCTCAGGGGATCCACAGCCTTCTCTCAGCAGTGGCTCACAGGACAGGCCGTGCTCTGCCTTGCCTGAGATGAAACCCAAAGTCAGAGCTTCTCCCGAGCAGGATCTGAGCCTGCAGGACCCCCTCCCACTTCCGCTGTGGCCGCTGTGCATTGCCAAGATCAGAGTGGACATGCCTCAGTGCTGGTGTTTGCCTGTGACAGGCTCCAGGTGGCAACCTCTGAGCCTCCTCACTCTCCCTAGTGCAAGTGGGCTTCAGTTTCCTGCTGAGCAGACCTATGTCCAATGGCTTGGGCTGGGAATCTGCTAGGTGGAGCCTTTGGGGACAGCTGAGCCGGGCAGGCCTTGGAGAGAAGGTCTCTGCCCGTGGGCCGGGGTCTCGGGTACCATAATGTAATGCCCACACCTTATGGCCCATCAAGCAGAGCAACAGAGACAGGTATGAGGCGAGGTCCAACTTGGCGCTCTCAATGCCATAGTCAAAGGTGGCCTCTAATTGGGTGTTTTGCCCATTAGAGAACAAAGCAAAATATGTGAAAGTGGGCCTCCTGCTGGGGGGCGGCCCAGTGACAGGGACT